CCCTGTCTCTCTTACTCACTCATTCCCTCACTCACACTCCCTCCCTAATTGACTCACTCACTTCCTCCCTCCTTCCCTCCCTCCCTCCCCTTCCCTCCCTCCCTCCCTCCCTCCCTCCCTCCCTCCCTCCCCCTCCCTCCCTCCTCCCTCCCTCCCTCCCTCCCTCCCCTCCTCACTCACTCACTCACTCTCACTCACTCCCACTCACTGTCTGTCTGTCTGTCTGTCTCCCTGTCTCTCTTACTCACTCATTCCCTCACTCACACTCCCTCCCTAATTGACTCACTCACTCACTCACTCACTCACTCACTCAATCACTCACTCACTCACTCACTCACTAACTCACTCCCTTCCTCTCTCCCTTCCTCCCTCCCTCATTCACTCACTCACTCACTCACTCACTCACTCACTCACTCACTCACTCACTCACTCACTCACTCACTGTCTCTGAAAGTGGGATCACTCACATCCTGAGTTTGTTTTCTCTCCCTTCCGCCCACTCATCCTTATACTGTCGTTGCTGTCCTCAGAGCTCGCTTCATTTCCTGAGTCTACTGAAGCGTGTTTCCGGATCTTTCTTGGCTTGGCATCATTGGAGGATTCATTATCATCTCTTAGCTTATCTGACGAGAGTGAGGCTGCATTGACCATCTTTTCTTTTGCATCAGGCTGTGGAAGAAGTACAAAAAGAATTGCTAGCGATTCAGGGTTCTTGACTTTCATATACATAAGTATGTTTTGTTTTCTTAAGAACCTGTAGTGCTCTGAATGCCAAAGAATGTATATAATTTTCAATTTCCCAAAGTAACTACGATATGATTTCTTAAATCTTATTAAACTTTGTTCATTTATAACTCAAACCTTAGTCCCATTCTCAAATGAGCTAATAAATTTACCAACAATAATGAGCAGAAGTAGGGTTTATAACAGTTTAATAATAATGTCTTTTCAATCCTAAATATTAATGTCTCATATGAATATTGAATAGTGTTCATTACAACAAATGTAGAAAGTGGTTTGAATGAGAATGAATATCTTCACAGTGTAAGAAATGTAATTGACAAGTTTCAATTATATCTTCATCAGACATACATTGTATTTATGAAAAAGATATAATTACAACTGGTCAAATACTTCTCTTGAACTGTGAAGATATTCCTTCCTATCTATATCTTTTTCTACACTTGATTCAAATAAAGGTGCATGCATTACAAACTGTACTTGGTAAGCTGTATAGTTACCGATAATCAAAAGCTAGATTTTAAGATAATGAAAATACCTAAATAGAGAGACATCATATATACAAAACTATATTTGCAACACTGCATGATATTCCCTTATTTAACATGGATATTTTTTGTAAAAAAAAAAAAAAAACAATACTATTAATTAACATGATAACCAAACATACAAATAGAAGGAATTTCATTATACATTTATTTGAAACTAGTTTAGAGATCTTGAAGGGAACATCACCAAATACAGTTAAGTCACAATGAAAACTAGAATTCAGATTCAAAATTCCTGTGTCTGCTGTGTTGTATTGTGATTCTGCATTTGGCATCTGGGCTGTAGCACCATTGCTATTAATTTCTTTGTTGGGTGTTCAATGTAAAAAGCAATTGGTATCTGACATTATTTAAGAATTTCCATGATACTTCTATGATAGATTCATAATGTTAAAGTTAGCATACTTTTAAGAATCAAAGATACAGAAAATATGCATATATCCTGCAATGGCCATTTTGCTTGTGTTGTTTTATTGTAAAGCAGATCCTCCTAAAGCACAGCAATGCAAGTTGGCAGCCTTCCAATTCCTTCTTCAATTCTGCATCATCCATTCTGTGTTTCCATCACAAAAGGCAAATTCAGACTGCACCTCCTAAAAGTCATCCAATACCGATCTGACTTAAGTAATGCTAGCTGCTTTCCCTATCCCCAGCAGCCCCCAACTGAGGGCAGTTAATACTGAGATGCTGAATCTACCACTTCAAATTCCAGGAATAAAACAATTGACATAACCTGACCAAAGGCTCAATCACTATATTTTTCAGTCTCAGTCCACTTGCCTTTTTCCACTTTCAAATTCCCATACAACTTCATATTTATACCTCTATGAATATTTCTGGTGCTCACCCATTCAAAAAGAATCTTACAGGCCATAGGTAGGTAATCGTGTGTCTTTGTCTCTGTCTCTATAGGTGACTAATAATGAATGATGGCCAGATGGATACAGCAGAATATGGAAGTAAATTCATGCCTGCTGATTATGATGTTATGCAACTAATTAAGTCTCACATACTGTGTCAGACTTGACACTCTACATCATGTCCTCTATATTATTTGTTGTGGCCCTCACCTGCCCAGGTTACTCAATTCACAACACAATTTCCCAATGCTATACTTAGCCATCTGCTGGGGACTGTGCAGTCATATGCTCTTGGCTTTGACATACACAGTGTTCTAAGAAAGAAAGCTAAAAAGAGGCTCCATACCTAGTTCTGAGTGGCTGAAACTTTTCAGTAGCCAGAGACGGCCAAACAGTGAAAAGTTGTTTTGCACAAACAATTCAGAGCAGGCTGACTGCAATGGCATGGAATGCTTGTCACCTGGCATTTACATTCAATTTTCCATGACATGATTAGATGCTATCAATCATAACTGGGTTAAATTGTGAGCCTCCCACATTGCAGACTAAGGTGGAGCACTAACTCCAGATTATTTAAAATAAATGCTATTCAAGTATATATTACAGGGGATATACAGTAACCATTACATTATTAGTGACACAAATGGAATATCTGTATTTAGTGGACTACAGCTAACTGAAACTAACACTCCCCTCTAGCTATTAGATTGTGGTGGACACCACAATCTCCTCAGCACTGGCACTGCCTCTCTCGGCATACTTGCCTCACCTCACTCAGCACCAGCACAACCTCACTTTGCATAATTACCCCTACACTGAGTCAGCCGGCTGGGTTACCGCTGAATTGCCACAATGCAGGATATAAGAATACAGCTGTCGGCCAATCAGTGCACTCAGCTATGGACAACCCGGCAATGTTACACTACCCTTTCTGTATATATACCGCAGGAGAAAGTGCAATACGAAGGCAATCAAATACAGCATAATAAATATCTACATAAAGTACTAAAAAACAATAATCATAATTTGACTAACTAGATGCAGATAGCAGAACTGTGAACAAGGTTCCATGAGTGGTCGCAGCTCTGGGCTCTTTCTCTTTCCACCATGGGGTCGGGGATGTGATGTTGCCAGGCCTGGGGTGGGAAGAGAATATATAGAGTAGGTTAAGACCAATAAAGTAATTATACAAGTAAAATCAAAACAAAGCAATATCAGATAACATTTTTATCACTCAAATATCAGCACAATGAAAAACACATATATATCTGGCAAATATTTCAATAGTTTAACAAAATGTGACTTTTTTTTTTTCTTCAATTAATACTGTCAGACATCAACAAAGTCGATCAGTGCATCTATCCAATGCCTAAATTGTGCCAAGACCAAAGTCAGTATCAAACACATATTCCTGTGTGGTCTCACCCATTTACTTTTTACCAGACAATCAAAAGGCCATCAACATATTCTTGTTCTGTAATGAAGCAAGATGTGCTGCCATAGACATCAAAGCTCAAATAGTTGCAAGGTCAATCATCATTTGCCTGTTTTCATTCACTCTTAATAGCTAATGGCTGTCAATGCCCTATATCTACCATTCATCTTTTCCATTTGATTTTCAACAACCCATAATTCATTTTACTAAAAACCTCAATATCACTTGCATATCAGAAGTCAAATTAAGAATTTCATTTTTCCCCTACTAATATGTGGGTCTGTTTTGCATGCCAAATCTCAAATAAAGTCACACTAGAAATATCAATACCATCACACTAACAAAACCACTTGTGAAAAGGACATTGAAGCTTATCATAACATTATTAATAATAATGAAATAATAAATACTATATCAATGTAATGTTATACTTTTCCATAGCAGAAAAAATCTGCATTCATATTAAAATACGTCAACAAAAAACAACAGAAAAATCTTCAGGTGTCTTTGTTACATATCATTATCATATAATGATAATAATAACAACCATCACCATCATCACCATCATCATGGCAATAATAATCGTAATAATAATAATCATAATAATAATCATAATAATAATCATAATAATAATAATCATAATAAATAACAACAAAATTAATAATAACAATAATAATGATATTAACAAAAATAATAATAACCATAATATAATGATAATAACAATAACAATAACAATAAAAACAATAGCAAAAATAACAATAATGATAACAACAATAACAATAACAATATTAATATTAATAATAATAAGAACAATAATAATAATAATAATAATAATAATAATAATAATAATAATAATAATAATAATAATAATAATAATAATAATAATAATAATAATAATAATAATAATAGTAATAATAAATTCATAACAGTAATAACAATAATATCAATAACAATAACAATATTCATAATAATAATAATGATGATGACAATGACAATGATGATAATGATGATGATAATGATAAAAGATGATGATAAAGATGATAAAGATGATGATAATGATAATAATAATTATAATAATTATAATAATGATAATAATGATGATAACAATTATAATAATAACAATGATGATGATGATAACAATAATGATGATGATAACAATTATGATGATAACAATAATGATGATGATAACAATAATAACAATGATGATGATGATAACAATGATGATAACAATGATGATAATAATGATGATGATGATAACAATGATGATGATGATGATGATGATGATGATGATGATGATGATGATGATGAATGATGATGATGATGATGATGATGATAACAATGGCAATGGCAATGAAAACAGTGATAATCATAATCATTGTGATTACAAATATAATCATAGCTATAATTATAAGTGTA